TTTCACCAACCTCAAGACTTCTTCCTTTACTTTGTTCGTTCTGAGTACTGCAATATTTAAAGAACAGGGTTTTGTACATATATACCAAACGTATATAAGCTTATTACAGGCACTAACTACCAGCAAACAAAACTTAATCTCTAGTGGTGTCGATCAAAAGAGCAGCTCCTTCCCTCACCTTGCAGGCAAGCACCCCAAGAAAACAAGAACCAACTGCATCATGTTGAGCATCGGTTTCCTCTTCATCGCTGCTTCCTTGCAAAACCTAATGATGCAAGAGAAGGGGGGGGGAGAGAAAATAGTCAGCTCAGAGTCATTTTCCACCAAGCTATGCTTTCAATATAACACAACACAACAAAATGTCACTGGAATTATTTTAAACCCATGGGTTTCTGAAGCACTTTCCCCTCCCACTAGCAACTTACTAGATCTCCATCCTCTTCCCAGATCTTGGGTTCTACATGCAATATCTAATCAAAAGTGACATGGGGCAGATGCACTGAAGGCTTCCTTTCTCTCCTTCCTCCTGTAATATTTTAAAAAATCCAAAGACTTTTCCCACCCTTAAAAAAATACTCAATTGGTTGGTTATTCCTTTTGGAAGGGAGGAATATTATTATCTTTTCAGCACTGCTGTGAACCAAAGCTCTTTCCAAATGCTGAACCTGTTTGGCAGTTCAGAGGCACAGGAACCGCCACACCAGAGAGTCACTCACAATCAACACCCCAACCGTCACAGCGCAGCGCAAAGTTGCAGAATTTTTTTGATTCAAAGGCAAAAAGCAGGCAGCTGCTTTTCCTGGGCTGAGAGGGGCAAAGCCAAGCCTTCCCCCGCCACGCACGGGCATGCAGCCACCCACACACCACATCACACCACCTTTCTGTGCCTAAGACCCTACCGAGCTACTCACACTGGAGAAACAAGAGAGGTTGGATAACTGGGGTGCCTACCTTGGGAGCACCAGGAGGCGCTCGAAGGAGCAGCAGGAGGGGGGGGAGAGAGAGAAAAGAAGAAGACTTGGTGAGGAGGGAGTCTTCCCTCGCGAATCTCTGAGGAGTGGAGGGAGCTCCAGAAAGGGGGGGGGACTGAGGGGGGGGAGCCTACAGGCGACTGCGGTACAGCAGCAGCAGCAGCAGCCCTGCGAACCGAAGCTGGTCCAGGGTGGTTATCCCTCTGTGTGTGTGTGTGTATGTGAGCCCTGTGCGCGCGCGCGCAAGCCAGCCGGCGAGCAGCCGCGCGAGGCGGGGGTAGCGCAGCAGCCGTCAGTCAGTCGCTGTGTATGTCTCTGTGTGTCGGAACGCGCGCCCCGCGCGCACACTCCCGCTCTCCCTCACACACACACTCACACACGCGCACAGGCGGCGGCGGCTGCAGCTGGCACGCGCCCCAGGGGCTCCAGAGGAGG